TTTAAAGACTAGAAGATGAGAGTGATTAATGTACTAAAGCTCACCACAACTCCACCTGCTGGTGAGTGCAATCATTTTCTTATCAATATACACAATATTCTGTTTCTCATTTTTGCTTTGTTTTGTATGTTATATTGGGGAGCCCATTTACATATCTGGCCTAGGTTGCCTCCTTGGCTATAACTGATTGTTCACGGCCCAAAGAGTAAGGATACTGTTCCAGGTTAGGATGCAAAAACGGAGTTGACACTGGCATTGGACTGTTCTGTTGCTGGGGCCGTGGTGGCTATTTCTGGACAGGCTCCTATGATTCATCAGTGGCGGTTAGGAGGTCTGACGTGTCAAGATGTGTCATTCCACTAATTGTCACTCTGACTTATCCCTAGCGCTTTCGAGCCTCTGAGCTCTCTTCTGACCTGAGATAATTCCAGCACAAAACTAAGCAGAGAGAGCAGGTTTTATGCACCTTGGGGAAGGAGAATCTGGCTTGGCTCTCTGGAGGTTTAGTATACAGCTGGACTTCAAATGCTTTTGATGCTTTTTCTGAACAGTTTCTTCCTCCATGCAGGTCAAATTTTCAATCAATGGTAAAAAAAAATGTTTTTACATCATTATGGAAACAACCCGTCATCACTCCCAAGTCGTCACATATGGATGCTTTGTCAACACCGTTTTGCATCACTTTTTAGCGCACAGGGTCCTCCTTTCGCATCATTTTTGATGGAAACTTTTGAAATTTTTTTGATGGAAACACTCTCCATTAAAAGTAATCATCCTGCCTTTATAATTTCACTATTTGTAAGTAAGCTAATACATGATGAGGTGCCCTGAAAAAGAAAATACCTGGACCCTTCCGAGTAACAAAAATGTTTATGTAGTATTAATGGACGTTAATATTAATATTTTAAAAACTTATTCATATTGCACTACTTAGGCTATGTATGAATCGCTTATTATACTTTTCCAGATCACTTCAACATTTAGCTTGTGAAAACAAGAACAAATTAGAGACTTTAATTATAATTTCAGTCTTTATGTTACAAATGGTGGGAATAAGTATGCACATGTGCAGAGCAGACCATACAGAAAGGTGCTGCAGCTACAGCCAATCATTACAGATTGTACCGTGAGAGGGCGTGGCTTGAGCGAGGGGTGCGGCGTGAGCGAGGGGCACTGCGTGAGAGGTGCTACTATCTGCAGACAGACGTTATTGGACATGCCTGTGCATGTAGAACTAGGGCTACCATATCGGAACCTTCGTTCTATCTCACACAGGCTCCGCCCTCTACTGGACTCTATGGGTACCAATGACTGTCCACCCTAGCAAGCCAGACAAGCCAGAGTCTACCACACCAACATGGTCAGCCACAGGCCGGCCAAAGCCCCGACCACCACATCACCTTAGTGACAGAATGGTGAGAAGGTCGCTGTACCAATAAGGACTTGACCAGCGCCGCCGGTGTATGTTCCCCCTCTACACCCAGTAGTCCCCAGATCCTCACTTTACAGATCTTATGTCGCACTTTGCGAGCAGGATCCCGAGAAAGAGCCCAACATATCCAAGACATAGAAACGCACAAATTTTCTACGGTACATGGGTCCCCACGCCCGGATGAATTTCTAGAAGTGGCGACTCTATCCATGGAGGTGGTGAATTCAGTGAGAAGTTCACCTTATGCTGAAGAAAAAAGGATGCTGAGACAGTAGAGATTATATGTGATGCACATGAAGTCCCATTGATTGGCTATGTGCACAATAAAAATTTCAGTGGGCAATTGCGTGAGTGATTGAAAGAGGTAGTATCCATGTTGTCCAGTAGAAGGCGGAGCCTGTGTGAGATAAAACAAATTTTATCCTTATTATTTGCTAGATAGTTTTAATGTATATAAATGCAGGGAATAACTCGCATTTTTTCAATTGGTTCACTCTCACTGATCTCATCAGTGTCTTTTTCAGGAGCAAACAACTGTTCACGTACAAAGCTCTGATAAACATATTGTTCACCATCTGTCCAGCACCAAACAGCAGACACACTGAGTTAGTAACTAGCTGGTCAATATCGGGGGGTTCAGCAGCTAAAGCTCAGGAGTTCGTGGAGACCAAAACAGAGCTAAAAAGAGAGTGAATATTGTTCTTACATTTGTCACTGATAATGAATGATAGTATCGCTCTGCGTCTGCTGGATATGTCAATAGGCAACATTTATTTTAGCAGTGGATAATCTTTTGTTTGGGCTGCCAAATGTCCAAAAGAAAAATCAATTAACTTGTTTGTTTAGCCAGCAATTAGAGTTTCCAATATTACTGTTGCTATGGTTACCCACACAAGCTGACTTACAATGGTGCTTGAACCACTGATCAGAACTGTGAATGAGGTGCCCTGTTGTGCTATTTGCCAAAAACTACTTCCCCAAACTATATACTCATGTAGAAAAGCAAAAAAATATTTTTTAATCATGTACATTTAGTGTTAGATTGTTGAGGCATTTATCTGGAAGGTGATATCAATGTTATGAACACAATTATTAGAATTTTATAGATATATGGTTAATTTACCTATAAGCATTTAATTGACACTTTCGTTTCATTGCATGCGATCAATTAAGTTCATCTCATCTTAGCTTTTCTTAAAGCTTTCTAAGCAAAGTATGTATGAGCTACAGTCATCATACATCTAAAAGTGCACCATCTCCATTTGGTGGAGAAAAATAATTGTCGAGTAAAATGAAAACAGATCGACACAGAGTACCTCTAAACTGTACTGAAGTGCAGTTCTTGAGTAAATGTACCCCATCCTCCACCAGATGTCCACTGGGAATGAAAAGGATTGTGAATATATGAACTGTCTCCCAAAGCCCAGATATTCAGGCTTACTGTCAAACCAAACTAAACAGTTCACAACTTCTCTACCACTAGCAGTCCTGATATGATTAATGAAACTACCTTTAATGGACAATAGTAAGCAACAGTGCTTGGCTTGCTTTGTGTTTCATCAGTACCTCAAATAAATGTTCACTTCAACAATGACACACTGCTACATTTTATAATGAAGGCATTTTTATACACATCAACATCCGATATTATTCAGGAGGCTCAACATATCCATTTGGAGCATGAAAACACCATTTCCCATCTGGTTTAAGCTCCCATCACAATTATGTGCAGGGATGGGCTCATATTACCAAGGGTATCCTATTTAATGTTATTTTTTGTGGTCAAATCGAGTTCTCTTTCCATAATAATATCCAAAGTATTCAGCTTAATTATGTATGCTGGGGTATTTGTGATTAGGATATGAATATGCATATAAACAGCTTAGCCCAAATATGACCTCAACTGGAGCATGAGCTGGTATCTACAGTATTCTCTCTGTGTGACTGCACTCACTGGTGCGATGTCATTTTCAGTGAAATGTTTTAATAAGCTTGACTTAATAGGCCCACCATGGATACTTGTGATTAGACACAGACACTGACATTTTTCACACTGCATATTTCTTCACTGATTAATATCTTGGTTTTCATGCTCACAATATCAAAGTACAATTTATGGAGGCTTAATTCTGTGGAATTACGCATTGAGAATATTTCAGCAGATATTTTCTAGCCTCTAAACCTGTAAAACTCATAATGTAAAATCATTGTATGAGATAATCACGTGTTTTGTGCCGTGGTGGAAGAATTAATCAGAACCTTTTCTAAAAATACCACAATGTGCTCAGTTAAAAATGAAAGTCCATTCCATTGAGAATTTTACTTAGAGAGGCACTAATCAATATTTTTGTATGAACAATGGATCAAATGATGGTAGCGTGAAAGGGTTCCCTCTTAGTGACAAAGCCACAGATAATTATCATCTAACGTTGTAATTCACTTCAGCTCTACACAGCGTTTTAGCCTCTTTCAACTCATTGTTTTGTGTTTTATGGCCCAGAGATTTACTGTTTTGAATCAGTCTCACAGCTCTCATCATACACTGATGCAAGTTTAAGCAAAATATCTAAGCATGAGCAGAAAAATGACACGAATACTAAAATTAGTCATTATACAAAATGGGCCTTTTTCAGAATGTACCTTAAATACTTTAATGGATAATTATTAAGAATGCATTAATGTGTCAGCAGCACTTCAATGCTCTACACTTGCTGGTCACAGTGAATGTTGGGTAATTTCATCTATAACCATGAATGCATCATATTTACTAAATAGTTTTGCATTTAAACTCTTTATCAACAAAGTAGATTAGTGGAGTAAAGTACCATAAAACAGAAAACCTAAATGTACATAATTACATATTACATTTATAACCTCTGGTGGAAATAATACTTCATTTAATTTTGTATTTTATTTACCAGTAATAGATTGCCTCATTTAGATAAACAATCTCTTTCTCAGAATAGAAATAAGAACCAAAAGAAAAATGGTTGAGAATGGGGCTACCTAATCCAGGGTCTTGGAGAGGCCCCTGTCAAAATGAAGGCTGGTTCAATTTCATTCTCCCTGTTATCTCTCCTTCGACAGCACCGAAAGGCAACAAAAGTCTTTGAAAAGGCTCCATGGGATGAAACCTCCTCCAGACCTCTATTAGGTCTGGATTGATTTTTTTGTCATAAAAGTTTGGGCAGCTATGCTCTAACTTTATAGAATTTGTCTGACTTCCTCCAAACCCAGATCACCCTAAAAATCTACATCCTTTCTAAACTAATTACTTTTTGTCTCTTAATCTACTCCAAGAGGGCGGCCTTGAAGAAATGTGCACCCCTCTTGGAGCAGAAATTGGTTCCCCTAATCTATCAGCACCCCTGGGTTTGAGGGTTCCAGCCCCTGGGCCAGTTTCATCTTCGATTGTATTTTAAACAGGATGCACTTTGTCTTGTGATGACAGGTGAATCCAGGGATCTGGCCGTCCATGCCACGCATGCACCGCTGGAGCGCACGAATCCAGTCGCACCGCCCTCCTGTTCGCCTGCTGCCGGGAGGAGCAGAGGAGACCGCAGACCGGAGCGCAACATCAAGAGTCACGGTACTTTAGGGATGTGGCAGCAATCTCGACAGCTAAAAATGCCCCATGAAATTCTTAAAGTTTGTCTTTTATGAGGACTGAAAGCGAAGAATAAATTAAAACGCAAGAGGGGGGGAAACAAATCGCGCGGAGGTGCATCAGCCGCTGCAGACATTTCCAGCAGTGCCTGCCCGCCTGCCTGGGCTCTGTCGTTCGGGATCGCGAAGCGCGTCGGAGTCGGTGTCCGAGCCAATCTAACCGTCAGGAGACAAGAGAGAGAAAGAGAACGAAAGAGGAAGCTGTCCATTCGTTCAGATACCCCCGCTGACACCTGCGTTTGGACCCCCGCAGTGTCTGATGTGGAGGTGAGTACCGTGGTGATGTTTCTGTGATGTTGGCTGGTTTGACAGCGAGTTGAGGTGATGGACGCTGAAGGATTCACAGGTAAGGCCACGTGGTTGGACTGATAACTATGCCAGCACGCTTGTTCTGGTTGTTATCAAGTTCTGCAGAGTGTATTACCGAGATGGAGCCCAGGTCATAACTTTCTGCACATTACAGCCACCCTCACCTCACAAGCCTCGTGGCATGTGGGTTTGCGTGTCTGGTAACATCACAAATACAATAAATCCCACTCAGTGGCCATGCATCCAATGTCTATCCAACACAGAAACTATCATTGGGAACAGTCCAGAACTTTAACTATTTCTTTTAGCACATTAGAGCTTCATTAAAGAAACAAATGCAGGAGGCTTTGTTTATCTAAATAAAACCTTGGCCTAATGGATCACAACCAAAAAACACATGTGACATACAAATTCACATTTTCAATATAAGTAATGTAACTTTGTGCATTATTAGCAGGCAAAACAATATGACATATGTTTACAATTGGTGAAACTAATGGTTAATAAAATTAATCAACATTTTAAATTACACTGTAAAACATTAAAAATGGGGTACAAATGTGCTTTTCTCTGTTTTATGTCATTATAAAGTCCGTACCTTTTGGGCTTTCGACTGTTGGTTGGAGAAAACAGACACTTTTGGAAACATCACATTGGGCTATCAGACTTTATGATTGTGTTACATGAGTAACTGTTTACTGAAAGAAACATTTGTTAAGTTAACCAATAATGAAAATATTCACTATTTGCAACCAAAACAGCATGCATCACACAAAAATAACATCCTTAGTCATTTGCTGACTATTGCAATTGCAGCTATTAGAAAAGAGCAACACATCTAAACAGCAACTACACAAAGAGTCTCAACTTGACTCAATGCTTAAATTGTGAACAGCTTCTTTCCACATTGTGACATCCACAATATGAAAAAAATATTAAAAGTATACCTGAAATTATTTTACTTTATGAATGCTGAATTGGAATTGTAACAGTGACGCATAGGCAAGCATTGTTTTTAAACTCGCCTAAGAATTGCATCATCTGCCGGAGCCGCTCATGTACTGCGGTGCGAATGACAGCTCCATGGCTCATCCAAAAGGCCTGTAGCAAAACAGCAGCTCATTACAAGTGCAGCGGCTCGGGCTTCCTCTGGCAGGAGGCTGCTGGCTCATTAGGGGTCACCGAGGGGCGAGTCTCCCACTATGAGCCTCAGCTTGTTAACAGAGCGCTCTGTGAAACCACTGTTAATTGGAATGAATTCATTTTCACTGACAGATTGAAAAGATGTACACGAGTCAGTAAAACTCTGTCTGTACTGTGGAAAACTCACCGTTGTGCAGATGATATTTTTTAGTTCATTTTCTATTATACTATTGAGGCTTTGAATTAGACAGAGTGCCCCTCCACAGTACACACAGTAGCATGTTGAATCCCTTCAACACAAAATAGTTATGACCAGAAACACTGTTTACTCTTTACAGTGTTTATGTTAAAGAGATTTGTGAAGAAGAAAATTCCTTAGTAATCAATGTGTAATATTGCGATCCATAACAAAAAAAAGGGGCCCCTGCATTCTGTGGTTAGATGGTTCTGTATAACAGTCCATTCAAGTGCAGTATTCAGATACATGATTGTTTTCAGGAAGCAAAACTACATGGATATATTTTTGGAGAAAAATATAAATATATATTAAAATTTACCAGGTAATACGTCAGCTATTTGTTAGGGTAATAACTGGCTATATTTACGTTTACATATTTGGATTTATTTGTAAAACCAAAATTAATGACATGAGACAGTTTTGACGATAAAAAAAACTCCTGACAACTGAGATTCCTCTATGTGGCTAGAGATGTTTTTCTAACAATAGCTGTGCAAGTAAAAATATTGTTGTTAATAAATTGAGTAATTATATGTTTTGATAGCCCACCAATCTGGCATTAATTTAACTTGTAGGTCCCTTTGAGCTAGAATAAATAAACAATCCCTGACTGGTTTCCCGTCCATATTCAATGGTGTTCACTGGAACACAAGCTGGGGGTCCCATATGTATTAGTCCCATCACATTTATTAGCAAAACAAAAAAAATGTTTGACTGTTTGTACATTAAAACCGTAAATAATTATCTTACATTTACATACATTCACATATGTATTCCACACTTCAGTGAGCCAGTCCTGCAAAAACAACAGACAGGTGTGTAAAGACAGTGAAACTGAGAAAAGAGCCACACCTAAGACCAGTGTCCAGTGGACATTTACACAATGAGTAGAATCACAACCGCTCCAACTAACTGCAGTATATGCACTCCTTGGCCATAGGGGGTTATGCCGTTCTGTGTAGCTATGGTAATACTGGGCAGATCCCAGCTGTGAATGTTGGTGTGAACGCTTGTGCTGAAAAAAAGTGTCCTTAATCTGTCCCAGCTAAAAATGAATAGCCTCTTAAATGAAATGAGTCATACTTTTGTATTCATTCATACTGTAATTTAAATAAAGTAATTTTTCTCTAAAGGAATTGGCTTTGATTGACCCTGTCGCCTCAGGCAGAACGTAAAACCAAAGAACTCTAATCCTTCAAACTTTTGAATTACATACAGGCTTTCTTCTGTTGCCTTGCGACAGTTAACACAGACATTTTATGCAGACAAGGTGAAAATGCTCATCCTATGAAATCCTATTCTCGTAATTTATTCTAAAATCCTATTTATCTTCCAAACTTTGTCAGTAGGGTTTTAGCTTCACTCTTACTTCATTTCAACTTTTTAACAGGTCTCTAGATCAGTTTCATAGCTCGCACACTTTACAGTGAGCGTTGGAACTGCACTTGGAAATGCTGAAACAATATTTCCTTGTAAGTAGATTCTTTTCTGTTTATAGGAAAAACATTAAGACTAAAATGGAATTACACTGTGAGAAAAGGGTACCTTAATAAAGGTAGAATGCGCTGAACTTTAACTGCTTAGAGACACTGATGATTGCAACAGCATCCAATCAGATAGTCCAGGCAGCCACTCACTTGATTTTTCCGTGAAAGGTTAGACAAATGCCACAAATAATTGTCGGTCTGCCTCTTGACCATACTCTTCTCCCCAGTGTCTTACCATGTTGATTATCTGATGTACTGCAGGTCATGAATGTCTAGACAGCTGGAATCTATTGGTACAGACATTGAGTTTTGCTATGACACGGAGGATGTGAGGCGTAAGCGCTGGAGAATGAAGGCTGCTTCATAAATAGTGAATCTGACCTCCGGTGTATGTTCAGCCGCTGTGAGAAGATATCTTAATGCCAGCGGTTACTGAATGATACTGACTGACTTCCTGCCTGGCTGAATGAGTGAAAGAATGGGCCGTACTTACAGCATGTTTAGCAATTATGCCAACTTTATCAGAGGAAGGAGTTGAAACACTCCACGCATTAATCTGTATATTCATACACTTGGAGTTGCATTGATGTTGCTGTCAAGTGCTTAGCTGGTTCAGTGAGCATCATGATGCAAAGCTTGAATATCACGTTTATTAAGAGAGGGAAGAGGAGTCTCAGACTCTGGTATACTATTCAGTCCCATATGCTCTACATAATGTTTGCTTCTACTTCAGGAAGATAGAATCAGTTATAGGCACCAAACATGTTTTAATCAGGTTCACCTAGAATGCCAGCATCTGTTGTTAAAGTTTGTGCAGTTACTTTTATAACCTGAGAATACAACCGATCAACATGCAGATTCTGCTTACGGCCCATTTTCTCCCAATTTTACCTCCATTTACTTAACAGCGCCATCTATAGTGGCAATCCTTAAGATTTTAGTCCTGGTTGATTTGGCAAAACCGAATCCCACCAAATGTGGTTTAATACTACAGGTGACAGAATTCTGGGGGCAGTAAAACAAACTACTGTTGTTTATGCTTTATGTTAACATTTATGCTTGAAATAAATCAAAAAATAGCATTCCAATCACATGTGGCCAGGCCAGGAATGATGAGGCCAAACTCACAATAAATTTTACAGGTTTTTATTCCCCGACTGGACTGAGAGCAGCATTAATCATGTAAAGTCAAATATTTAAGGCAGTTGGGGTTTATAGTATACACAGGAATTACTCGCTTAATTACTTATCATTTACCTATTGCATCTGATCTAAACTATTTGATTTAACAGTATGCTATAGTACCCCTTAACCATACCATAATATGTAAACAGCTGCCATAAACTAGTTTACACTCACTCTGGTAGACTTCAGTTACTAGTTACTTGTAAACAGGAACTCTAGACCTAAATTCTTAACAACAAAATCTATAAAACAGTCAAGACTAGACCACAGTAGTGGCTTTTTCTAAATGTGGTGAGCGTCACGTAGCGCCCAGAGAACCTGATATGGAGAGGGCAGAGGAGAAAACCGGCAACTTGTGAGAAGTCCCGGTACGCAAGAAAATGTTCCGGTACACCAAAGAGTAAAAAGTCGAGTTGCCGGTACTGCGTTCCGGCCCACTTCAAGCACTGGTTATAACCCACATAAAACTATTGAACTCTCATTCACCTGGCTACACATAGATTTCTATATGTCTTGTTGAATAGTCTGAATAGATGCTTGCTTAAGTGGGGTGTTGAATCCTGCTCTCTGGAGTAAAGTTAAACAGAGACAGAAAAAGTAGGAGCCTGAAGCAGGACTATGAACTTTTGGGACATATGTTTAGCCCAATGCATAAAGTTTAAAGAATGAGCTCGGAGTACTTGGTGGGTGTTGGTGTTTACGCTGCTATCACAGGAGCATTACACAGGGAGGCGGAGGAGGTTTTCAGGCCTGGGCTCCAAGCGACAAGTCCAGGAGTCAACTAGCTAATAGAACCGCTAGCTGCACGACCAACTGAGCTAACCAGCTGACAGCAGTTACAGTTAGCAGTAGCTATCGATGCATTTACAAGTACCTCCGTCAAAAAACGTATCTAACTTTCCTTC